CACAACGTATAAAATATAAACTACATATATTGCACTAAAATACAGTTATATAATTAATAATAACAGAAAACATACCAGGGCCTCGTGTCGCCCAGCGTATGGAATGTACCGACCGCCAACCTGATGAATAGGGTTCCCGATAAAAATTTGGGTGACGTGCCGGTACCAGGACATATACCCCTGAATAGCCACCTCCTGGATCTGTGTAGGTGGGGGCAGAATCATTTGCTCTTGATGCTCCACAATATCGAGGCACATGAGTGGGGCAGAAGTGCTCCAAATCAGTCGGCCGGCCGAGCAATAAGCTGGCAGGGCAGCTATCAAATCGTCGTTGTATGGCGTCCAGATTAACTATCAAATAAGAACATGAGACGTGAGTATGCACAACACTAAGTTAATCTATACCAGGTAAGTTTAGGTACATATTTACCTGTGCGCCCTCCAGCAGATCCAACGTATCCCTACAGAGGGGGAGATTATGATGAGCATCATACTCTCGTGAAAGTGTACGGCGGAGAACCCACCTCCTGGCTAGAGAGAAATATAGAGGTGGTACATTAGGAGGTAATTGTGGTCGAGGTGGTTGAAACTGCAAGAACCGCTCCCAGGCCCAAACCTAACATGCAAAGTTGACGTAAGGTTTAAGATAATTTCTAACTAGGTAGAGTTGGGACTGATGAACAGAATATTTGAATATGTTGTCACCTGTGGAAGCGGCATAAAACCACAAACATCTCTCTGAGTGCCCATGCTCGCCCGGCAAATCTGCCCTTACATGCAGCCGAGAACAGCAGCATCCCAACTGTAATAAGGTAACTCATCTAGTAGCTGAAGATGATGAAGAAATCTCAGGCTGACTAGGTTCCCCAAAGTGTTCGGGAACAAGACACCTCCAAATAGAAGAAGCAGCAACAACCTCATATACCGGGTGATATATATCTCCTCTGTATCGCCGGTGATATCGGGGTGGAGTACCTCCAGGTACTGTCTAATAGGTGTCAAAGTCAACCGACTGGCACCCGACGATGCAGTCTCGTCTTGTGGCCTGAAACCCGTGAGCTGCTGCAGCATGTCCAAATAAGCATCACGCGCCATAGATCTCATAGCAATAGGCAGTGAAACAGCCATGCCATCAACGGTTAGGCCATATAAAACCTCCACGTCCTGCAGCGTGATGGCAGCCTCGCCAATGGGCAGGTGAAAAGTGTGCGTCTCCGGTCGCCAACGCTCAATCAACACCGTAATCAAAGCCCAGTCAACCCGTATCCGCCCGATCTCAATAATCCTATAGAACCCCGTAGCCTGGAGGCGTCGTGGAGATCTCTCGGCCTCAGAAAATCCCACAGGTCGTCCACTCTCCTAGCGCGGAGAGTCTGGGACAGTAACTCTCCCTCCCATATATGGACGGACCTATGATCGCCCTGAAGCACTAATAGCTCACGAGAGTAAGGGCCGGGATGTATAGGCGGCGTGTCCATGTCGTCAACTGTAAATTAAACAACATTAATTGTATGTTTATTATTTAATTGTACAAAATATATATACTTATTGGGTTCTAGGCTCAATATTTGAGGCCCAGTAGCACCAAACTATCATGAATATTTATGTGTGTCAAATTCAATATTTTGATAATTTTGTGTGTGTTTGTTTTATAATTTAAATTCTTAATTTTTAATTATTTAATTGTACAAAATATATGTACCTATTGGGTACCAGGCTCGATATTTGAGGCCTAGTAGCACCAAACTATCATGAATATTTATGTGTGTCAAATTCAATATTTTGATAATTTGGTGTGTGTTTGTTTTATAATTTAAATTCTTAATTTTTAATTATTTAGTTGTACAAAATATATATACCTATTGGGTTCCAGGCTCGATATTTGAGGCCCAGTAGCACCAAACTATCATGAATATTTATGTGTGTCAAATTCAATATTTTGATAATTTTGTGTGTGTTTGTTTTATAATTTAAATTCTTAATTTTTAATTATTTAATTGTACAAAATATATATACCTATTGGGTTCCAGGATCGATATTTGAGGCCCAGTAGCACCAAACTATCATGAATATTTATGTGTGTCAAATTCAATATTTTGATAATTTTGTGTGTGTTTGTTTTATAATTTAAATTCTTAATTGTTAATTATTTATTTGTAAAAGTATATATATCTATTGGGTTCCAGGCTCGATATTTGAGGCCCAGTAGCACCAAACTATCATGAATATTTATGTGTGTCAAATTCAATATTTTGATAATTTTGTGTGTGTTTGTTTTATAATTTAAATTCTTAATTTTTAATTATTTAATTGTACAAAATATATATTCCTATTGGGTTCCAGGCTCGATATTTGAGGCCCAGTAGCACCAAACTATCATGAATATTTATGTGTGTCAAATTCAATATTTTGATAATTTTGTGTGTCTTTGTTTTATAATTTAAATTCTTAATTTTTATTTATTTAATTGTAAAAAATATATATACCTATTGGGTTCGAGGCTCGATATGTGAGACCCTGTAGCACCAAACTATCATGAATAATTATGTGCGTCAAATTCAACATTTTGATTATTTAATTGTACAAAGTATATATTTTCATCTACCAGTATATGAAATACTTAAACTACAGGGATTCTACACTAAAATACTATACAATTTACTACGTTAAAAGGTTCTACATTTTACTATGCTAATAAATAAACTGAATATAAACAACAAATACATTTTGATCACATAACATTCACAAAATTACATAGAACATACTAGTTTCGCAAATAAAACACAAAACGACATGGAAACACTAATATCTAAATCCGGATATTAACATAAAAAGTTAAAACTCAATCTTACATTTTTTTTAGACCACTAATATTTAAGTCCGGATATATATGACATACTAGTTTCGCAAATAAAACACAAAACGACATGGAGACACATTCAATCAACTGATATGCATTATTATACAAGTTTCGACATAAAATAAATCGAAATACCTCGATGTAGTGGGAAGTGTGAAAATTTGAAGACGAAGGAGTTAAACCACAATAATACAATGCTCTACTACGATGTGGGACCTACGTTCTTAACCTTTTGTGTGACGGGAGGGGCCCACAATTTTTTTTTATAAAAAAACGAGCAGGGGAGGGGGGGACCAGAAGTAGTAAGGTTAAAAAAAATGGGGGAAAGGGGTTTCTGGTCGGGGAAGAAGACGAAGGGCGATATTTAATTAGGGGTATAGCGTTTTCTTTTTGGACGTTATATGTATAGCGTATGAATTGAGGACGCTATATATGTCAGTCAAATCGTCAGACAGTATAGCGTCTAAATACAAGACGCTATACCTTAACGGCAAAAGTTAGCGTTAAGGTGTAGCATCTTGTATTTGGACGCTATATATAGAAAGGTAACTTTTTTTTTACACTTATTAATGTACTTTGAGTCCCAAAAAAATAATATTTAGGTTCCGGACTCAACATTTTCCTTCCTCTATTTAGCAACTTAAATTCCTGTACTATATCTCTTCTTCTCGATAATAACAACACGCCCAGCTATAAACTACTTTTATCACTATTCGTGCCTAATTAAATTAAGTCATTGCGGGTTGTGGCGAAGTCAAGATTTTAAGTGTTAGTAACTGAGTTTTAAATTTAATATTTGTATATAGTTAATAACTTTTAAGTACAAATACATTGCTTGAACAAAAGTTACTGAATTCGACCGAAACATTTTTAGACTTCTAGCGTACGTGCATCAAATAAAATAAGTAAATGTAGTGGTTTAACTGAGTAAAAGGACATTGTTATTTTTGGGAGAGCAACTCGGTCGCATTCAAATCCGGTAAAAGGCAATTGCTATAATTATGAGGATAGTAACTTCTGTAACTTCTGGTTGGTGAAGAAGATTTAAAACTTGCTGAAAAACTAACCTAAGTACTACTCCCTCCATTTCAATTTATGTAAACATGTTTGATTCTGTACGGAGTTTAAAAAAAATGATGATTTTTGAAATTTGTTGTCCTAAATAAGTTAAAAAGGAGCCCAGCGTATTTGTGTGGTTATAAAATCTTCTTATTAAGGGTAAAATTGTAAGTTTAAGCTAAATTGTTATCAAATTTAGAAAGAAGTCATTCTTTTCGGAACGGAAAAAAAAAAAAATAGGTTCACATAGACTGTAACAGAGTGAGTAATAATTTATATCTTTAACATTGAAGTGATTTGTTGTCTGTGAGATTGGTAGAATTCAATGCAACGCTATCTAGTCAACAGTACTTCAATAAATTCTTAGACACCACAATTATTTGTTACTTCCACTACCTGATTTTCTTTTGAGTTCGGAGTAGTCGATACCAATATAACTCTCTTTTCTCTCTTAAGCATTGTGAGTCTGTGATTGCTTGTCGTTGTCGATCCTCGTAATTACACAGTGATTTTCAAACAGATCCTTACTGAAAAAAATTGAGTTGTGAAATTTGTTATTTATTTTGTATAATAAAAACATCTTTTCATTATAAAGTATAATGAAGATTATTTTGCCGTTTTCAACTGCTCTTCAAGTACATAAAGGAATGGGATTTTGACACTTTTATATACTAATATATACTATCAACTAATCCTTTTGTCATAACTCATAATAGGTGCACCTTGCATTTGGTATGGTATTTAATATAATAAGGTATACGTGTATTTATATGAAACTAGTATTAGTACTTGAACAACGATGCGCGAATATTATTAAAGGATATTAGCCGTTTCAAAGTATGATTTGATTTATTTTAGCAGGTTAGGTCACACGGTTTAACAAAGTCGCTAATATCCTCTTATCCAACCAATAATAAAAGTTTCTTTGTAATTAAATTGAACGATTCATATGTTAGATGTGGATTTCAATGATGAAAAATAATATATTATCGTGTGCAGGATCAAGTGAGATGTAAAGAAGGATGCGAGCAAATCTATCAATGATGTACGAACGAACACCAAGAAGGAAGGAGTAAAAGAATCAAGGCAAATGATCTGTCAACGGAATCAAGAAAGAAAGGTTCAAGATTAAAGCAATACGACAACCAGGATAATTGGTATAAAGAAGGAAAAACCAAGATTCGCGGAGATCTAAAATTGTTAAGTTTGAAGCTCGATGGCTATGGCGGAAAACAACAGAAGAAAACCCTAGAAGGGTTGAGAGAAGAAGATGAACGAAATGAGTCAGTCAAAGTTTAATTGACCAAAAACTAATATTATTATTCAGAGGTATATATTTATATTTAAAATTGTAAGAGACAAAAACAAAATGTAAAATCTGAAAGTATAAGCAAATGTAAACTATAAAAGGGCCTTCTTCTTTCCCTTATCTGATTGGGCCTGTGACAATTGGGCCTGAGCTTTATCTGGGCTAACACCTCCCCCCCCCCCCCTCCCAAGCTTGAGGGTTAGATCACACCAAGCTTGCAAAGTAAACCATGATGAACAGGACCAGGAAGAGCTTTGGTCATTATGTCTGCTAACTGATTGGAGCTGAAGATAAAATGTAAAGAAATCAGACCAGTCTGCAAGCAAGTGGCACATAATGACAGTCAATCTCAATATGCTTTGTGCGCTCGTGAAAAATAGGGTTCTTGGCAATATGAAGAGTTGTCTGGTTGTCACAATAAATGGGAACTGGGCTGGAAATGGACAAACCAAGATCAAGCAGAAGTCTGAGCAACCAAGAAATCTCAGCTGAAACTTGCGAAGTGCTCTGTATTCAGCTTCAGCTGAGGATAAGGAGATAGAGGGATGCTTCTTGCTTTTCTAAGAAATTGGGCTGCCACCAAGAGAAATATAATAACCAGTGACAGATTTGCAAGAAATGGCACATGCAGCCCAATCAGAGTCAGAATATGATGCGAGAGACATATCAGATGAGCTGGAGAGTAGTACCGCTTGAACTGGATCATTGAGCAAATATCTGAGAACATGCAAGGCTGCCAACATGTGGGGAACTTGAGGTTTTTGAAGAAATTAGCTCAAATGTTGAACGGAGAAAGAGATATCAGGCCTAGTATGTTGCAAGAAATTGAGCTTCCCAATCAATCTCCTATACAAGCTAGGATCAAAAACAGGCTCCCCCATGTCTAACACCAGCTTTACAGAAGGATCTAATGGGGTCATAACAGGAGAGAAATGTTGACAATTAAACTCAGACGAGAGGTCAGAAGTGTACTTGTGTTGACTCATCATATAACCTTGAGAGATAGGAGAGATTTCCAATCCCAGAAAATAGTGAACTGAGCCCAAGTCTTTGATTTTGAATTGGGCATCCAAGAAAGTTTTCAAAGAGTTCATCTCAATAACATCATTATCAGCTAGCAATATGTCATCAACATAGACAACCAAGACAATTAGAGAATCAGAGGAGACCTTGGTGAATAAGCAATAATCATTCATGCTGGAAATGTAGCCTCTGGATTGCAAGGCTTCAGACAGTTTTGAAAACCACTGTCTAGAAGCTTGCCTAAGGCCATAGAGGGATTTCTTAAGTCTGCAAACCAGGGGAGGAGAAGAAGAAGATATGTGTTGAAAAAGGAAGACTATCAATCCCGCGGATCAAGTAACACCTTAAGGACCAATTATAGGGAATCCTCTTTCGAAGAAGGAAAAGACCGACAATCATGGGCCATCTATGGAAGCATCGTACTTATTCTTGGAATGAATAATAACAGATTCAATTCCAAGGATCAATTCCCTTGTGATCGCAAATCTCTCAACGGTCTTCCAAAAGATACGTCAAGCCAAGCTCAAGTATATAATGAAGTCTGTCAAGGAAGAATCATATACTTTGATCGAACCACTATCAATCTTTTTGTTCTAATCCAAACAAGCATTGTAGTCTATTCTAGATCTACTGTGTAACTAGGGAGAGAAGAAAGAGAGAAAAATCATTGGTAAGGCATTGTAACGAGAAACGAGAAAGAACTAGTATAGTGACGATGCTATTGGTGTACAACAACACCTACCTACCTGTATCGAGAAACTTTAAATACTTGAAAGAGAATACCCTTGCAATCAAAGGGGACCCAATGTAGGATTCACATTGAATCTGAACCAGTATAAAAATCGGGATGTCTTTAATTCCTGCATTTTACTTCTGCTTTCATTTAGATTATGCCTTTATTTTTAGTCGACTAATTGGTAAACTAGTCAACTACTTAGGATACAAAAAGAATAATCGACAATTCAGCCCCCCTTTCCCCTCTTGTACTTTTACCATAATCATCGAATAACTTTTTTAATGATCATAATTATATAGATTGTGCTAAATAATCTGAAAATATAACATGAATCAAAACGAATAATTATAGTTAAATGAATCTAAAATGAATCTAAAAAATTCTTTATTTTCTATTTTTCTAACTTTATTTGTTATTGTCCATCAATATAATCATCAATCCCTTCTTACTTGTAACTCGCGAAGATCATAAAGTGGTTCATTTGTAAGCAGATATTTATTTAACTTAAAAATAATCTCATATGAGATAATGATTCATAATAATAATAATAATAATAATAATAATAATAATAATAATAATAATAATAATAATATGGTTTACCCCACTAGTGGAATTTTACTGGGTATGTTGTTGTTGTTTTCTCAAATATACTATCTGTTTCTGTTGTTGTCAAGCTGTTGAACAAAGTATGTCCTTTCAAGAATTAGAAATATGACTAATAGCCTATTTGGCCAAGCTTTTGTTGGTCAGAAATTTTTATTTTGGCTAACTTTTTTTTTTTGTTTAAAGTTAAAGTGTTTGACCAAGCTTTTAGAAGGAAAAAACTGCTTCTCCCCAAAAGTAAAAGTACTTTTGAGAAAAATACAGTTAGAAGCACATTTTAAAAGCTTGGCCAAACGCTAATTGTTGTTCAAAAGTGTTCTTTAAATTAATTAGCCAAATACAAATTATTTTTTTCACTAAATAATTTTTTTGAAAAGAACTTTTCAATAAAAGCTGATTTTAGAAGCGTGGCCAAACAAACTATAAATATTACGAATTTGAATGTCAACATCTTGCTTGTCATCATCAATAGAAGAAGTTAATGCAAATATGAATATGAGCTTAATAAATACTTGCGTTAAGTGTCATAAGATATACTCCTATATATTATTGGTAAGTTAATTCTGGAATATAGTGTTGTACTCATGACCCGGATCTAGATGCAAAACGAACAACCACAGGTTTGTTTCCAATGTCTTCTTGTTCTTGTTGAATTCGTGCTGGAGAAGCCTCGACTTCGGGCGTACATGATTTTAACTCAATTAGTCCTAGTGAGTTGATATCTGCAAAATCAATGGGTATCTCTTCCAAATTAAAGCAAACTCTAATCACAAGGCGCTCAAGGACAGGAAAATTGTCATTTGTGGCTTTCCAGTATTTGAGATCACTAACGTCAATTAGCAAAAGCTTTAACCGAGTAAATCCCTCTGCAGTTGGAGACCATACGTAGCCTTTACATACATAAAATATCAACTTCAGCACCTCAAGGTTAGGCAATTCACCTATGATGTTCAAGTCCTTCCACATTATATTAGTATCCATCAACTTTAACTCTTGAGCTTTGCTGGAAAAGCATTTGCACTTGGAACGGTTGCTGGTGAAATATATCGTGTGACATCCACAAAGAATCAAGTACTGTCATGACCCGAATCTCCCTCCGTAAGATGTCGTGACGGCACCTAATCTCTACGACTAGGTAAGCCTAATAATTTGAGGAATAACAGAAATGAAAACAGAATTCAACAACTAGACTGCAACAGATAACTATATAATGATAAAATGTCACTCAGCACGCGCAAGCAAACCAGCACTCGAGTATACACAGTATTCCCAAAACCCGGTAGCCACAAGTCACAAGCTTTATTAATTTGTTTAACTGTTTCTATACATCGGTAACTAGAAGAAATAAAGGAGGAACAACATAAAAGAGATAGAGGGGGACTACGAGGTTTGCGGACACTGGCAGATATACCTTGAAGCCTCCGGAGCAGCAACAAGCACACAACTAATAGTGGAGGTGATAGGAGGTACCTAGATGTGCACACAAAACATGTGCAGAAGTGTAGCATGAGTATACCACAACGGTACCAAGTAAGTGCCAAGCCTAATCTCGGTAGAGTAGTGACGAGGTCAGGATCCTACTAGTATAATAAGTAAGACAGAAGATATAATAATGTGAAAAGACTGAGAATCTAGCAAGGAGAATTTTAAAGGAAAATAACAGCACAACACATAGAGATAACAACAGGGGCGCTCCCGAGATACCGTCTTGTAGTCCCAAAAGTAAATGCTCAACAGGAGATCTCCCGAGGTACCGCCTCGTACTCCAAAACGTAGAAATGCAGGGGGGAGAGGGGGGAGAGATCTCCAGAGATAGCGTCTTGTAGTTCCAAAAGTAAATATGCAGAGGGGGATCTCCCGAGATACCATCTCGTAGTCCCAAAAGTAAATATGCAGCTCGAAATCGATGGAAATAACAATTACAGCAAGAAATCCTACAGTTTACGACTAAGTACAAGTCAAGGAAAAAAATGGAATGCAACTAAGCATGTTGCAGGTAAGCATTTAAGACATGTAGACATGTGATATTAGGCTAAACAGGATAACTACACATGCCAGAATAACTCATTTAAGATAAAACAGGTTACTACTCAGTAAAAACGGATTTTACAATAATTAGCCCGTGTACGCACTCGCCACCTCGCGTACACGGCGCTCACATATGTGACGACCCAAAGGGTCATCACCTGTTTCCTCATTCGTTCTGTGCTTCCGAGGCCTTGAAAACCTCACTTTTGGTTGCCTCGATTTGCGTGCGCACTCCGATCGCGAAGCCGGAAAATTTTTATGTTAAAATATATGAATTCTGTGAAAAATTTGGTGAATTATGATATTAATATTGATATAGTTGACTTTGGTCAACATTTTGGGTAAACGGGCCCGGGCCCGTGATGTGATGGTCCCGGGAGGTCCGTAGAAAAATATGGGACTCGGGCATATGCCCGGAGTCGAAATCCGAGGTCCAGAACCCCGGTAAAAGAATTTTTCTGATAAATTATTTTCTGAAATTAATAAGGAAAAATGGAAATGAAAATGAGTTAGAAAATATAGGTATCGGGCTCGTATTTTGGTTCCGACGCCCGGTACAGGTCTTAAATATGCGTTAAGCGCTTCCTGTGAAATTTGGTCGAAATCGGACGTCGTTTGACGTGTTTCGGACCTAAATAGCTAAAGTTGAAGGTTTATGAACTTTGAAATGAAAATTATGAGTTTTGGGGGTTGATTCTTTGATTTTGATGTTATTTTAGCGATTTGATCGCTCGAGCAAGTTTGTAGGATGATATTGAGTTAGTGTGTGTGTTTGGTTGGGAGCCCCGAGGGCTCGGGAGTGTTTCGGAGGTGGTTTACACTTAGAAAAATTAGCAGATTTTCTGCAATTTTTGCTCAGGCCTTTTCTTCTTCGCGATCGCGGCCTTAGGCTCGCGTTCGCACTGCTCATGGTGTTCCCCTTCTACGCGTTCTCATCTCCATAAGCGCGATCGCGTAAATCAAGTTCAGGACCCCAGAGACTTCCTCTTCGCGTTCGCAGTCAGATGTTCGCGAACGCATAGACTTGCTGCTCCCTCCATCGCGTTCGCGAGGCCTTTTACGCGTTCGCATAGAACAAACCTGGACCCCCAGCATTTTCTTCTACGCGTTCGCCTTCCCCTTCACGCGAACGCGATGCCTGCCCATTTTCCTTCATCGCGAACGCGACCGGGGTGTCGCGAACGCGATGAACAATTTGCCCAGTTATTTAAAAGCCTAAACAGTAGCCATTACGGGATTTTGCCATCTTCTTCACACGAACCTCTCTCTCAAATCCTCCATAGACGAAATTCAAGTTCCCTTTCCTCCACAACTCGTTGGGTAAGTAATCCTAACATCGTTTCCTCATTATTT